TTGCGCCTCTAACTTGTGCCTCATTATTGATTCGATGGATAATTCTTGAAGAGCCTGACTTCCAAGCCATTTTGACACAACGTCAAAAACTGTTGCAAACTGGTTTTATGTAAGTCCTCGGAGTTTATCTCAGCTTAAAAAGTTATGATGGCTCGGCAGCCTGTCCGTCTCGTGGGGACACACGAGACACACGAGACCAACTTTCGACGCCGCCGGGAAGCGTTTTTAGTTCGTAACGCAAACGTCAAGCCAAGACTGGAGAACAAAGCCACCACAGCGGCACACATGTCCAGACGTCAAAACATCTCTCCAGGAGCCACGACACCATTTGTTTTCTCCCGCCTCAGGCGAAACACTATTAATTTGCACCTGTTTCTGCTGAGAAGAACGATAAATTTACGGAAGAATCGGCCTGGCCATTATTGTCTGGGTGCTAGCAGCTCCCGGTCGCCGTAATCTATTGATTGTTTTCTGCTCCGGCTAGGCGGATTGTGGGTCGGACGGGCGCTCGATTTCCATACAATAATCCACTGAGCTGGCGGGGAGGCGCCGCGCGGCCGGGCAATTCATTAGTGATTACATGGAGATATCGGGAGGGAGGCCAGGCAGGGGAGGCACGGGTCGGGGCTGGTGGTGGCGGGGAAAGTGGGATGTAGGTGATGGGATGGTGGAGGGATAGACTGCAGGGATATTAGGAAAAAGCTTGGTTGATTTGGTGATCGGGACGCGGAAGAAATGGAGAAATGAAAGGAAAGGCTGAAATGGAGTAAGGAAAGGATGGAAGGAGATGGCACTGACCCGAAGGACTGAAACGGTGCCATTCAATGCATCGGCATTCATTTCTGAACTGTGCTGACCTCGGAACGCAGCACTCGAGGAATGCAACATGGTGATCACCGATCAGTGGGCAAAGCATTAGCAAGACACATGGCGTGCAGCCCCACATTTAAACATGCCTCTTCGATCATCTATTGACTGCAGTCGATTTTACTGATAACCGGCAGCTGTTCAATTATTTCAGCCCATACGTGCTGTTTACTAGATATGGGTCAAGTAAGTTAGATAAAGGCTTTAAAAAGTACAAATTACTATATGGTCGTTATCGAGACAACACCGCCTCCCTTGCTAAGCGCTGACTACCGGCCATTGAATGGAACGCTACCGCACGCCGCGGAGACGTTAATTGCGCCGTTATCCGATCGGTGCCGTAACGGACGGCGATAACCATTACCCGCGTTACGTGCAGTGGCGTTGTTTGCCTTGCCCCGCGCTGTAAATCATCGGCAGGCAGGGCCTGGAAGCGGCGACTTTCCCCTGTGAGCTGTGTTGCAACGGGTGGAGCGGCAGCCCTCCCCGGGGCAGCAGCCGCCGCGCGGCGGGTCGTCCTCTGCCGCGGCGCCGACGGAAGCCGTCCGGTACCCCTAATGACGTCATTAAACGGCAGGGCCGTCCGAGCCACGCGACACGGACTGCCTGCTACTCAGTGGGAGCCGAGCCCCGGGCGGCCGGCTCCCCTCTCCGACAGCTGCGGCCCCGTCAGGCCCCGTCCTGACCCGAGGTATGTGCGTTCTTACAGTCGGCTCCTGTGGTTGGGAGCCCGCGGCAAAAAGGTGTTTTTCTGGGTCGGCCAAGGTCGCGGCTGTAATACGGTTAGCGGTCGTATTCGTTACCGGAGTCCCGCCGTCGGGTCACAGGAGCCCGGGGACTGACGGGGCGGGGTCACGGCCCAAACAGCGGGGCTGAACAAACACGTCAACACTCAGCAATGTCAATTCATTCAATCAGTTCCAGTCGATTCGTTTGCACTGATCGCATCTGACTGGCTTTGCTACGCTGTTTGCGACCATATGCCGCTACTAGGACACGTTTGACATGCTGTATTTTTTTTTTGCCCTGCTAACCGTTCCTGGACGAAAAGACATCAGTCATGCATGGGTAATGCCGCCAACGACACCTTCATCCGACACATTGAATGACTATCAGCAATTAAATTTGCTCAGTAACTATAAGCAACAATTAGATTTGTTTGAAGATCGAAGTAAAATTTGTTATAGGTGCATGGGCTTTGGGCATGCTCGCCGTTCTCATGTTCTTAGTGCAGAGTGCTGGCGTCAGAGCTCGAAAACAGCTGCTCCGACCTGCCGACTGTTTGTATCTCTCCGCCCGCCGCCAGCCGCCTCTCATGTTGTCGTGTCCGCCAATGTGCCGCCTTTGACTCGGTCTGTGCTTGGTGGGAGGTGACGATTCGTTCAGGCGCGCCGCTCAATGGCCGCTCGACGGGATAATCCGGGCGGCTTTCTGGCGGCCACCTACAGGGCCGCTGTACCTTTTAGACCTGAGCCGGGCGGCCGGCGGGCTTCCCGGCGGTACGAGACGCCGCGCTGGCCTCCCGCTCACCTGGGCCATTTGCATCATAAAGGACGGTGGACCGGCCGGGTCCATTTGCTGACCGTGAGCCGCGGCGGACCGGACCGGCCCGGACCGGCGCGGCGGGATTAGGGCCCTCCCGCCGCCGCCCGTCCCGCAGCGAGGAGCGTGCCGGTCGCTGCCGGGCGCCGAGCGTGCCGGCCGCCGCCGCCGGGAGGGGCGCAGAGATTGGATACCCGATACGCAGGGCAATCTGGCGGCGGGAGGGAGGGAGGGAGGGAGGGACGGCAGAGGGTCGCGTCGGGACGGACGGGAGCGGCGCCCGCCCACGTCTCTCCCTGTCCCATGCCGTTCCGGCCATGTCTCTGCCTGTATCCTCTCGTCCCGGTCGGGTCTCCGTCTGTTCAATCCCGTCCCTGCCTTGCGTCTCCGCCCACCCCACCCGTCTCCGATTGTGTCCCGTATCGGCGCCCCAGTCTCCGTGAGACCGTTACATTCACAGTCCACACACCAGTCCGGCTCCCCGCCGTACACCACTCCCACGGTACGCCGCAGCTCGGCAGACGCACTGTGCCAGGGAGCGGTCTCGACACTCCGGTTCTGGTGGGCCGACCATGGGTGACGCGTGCTGGCTCCATGCGGGACAGGTGGTGCACGCCAACTCAGACTCAGCCACGGCTTTTTACCGGTCGACGCTCGGGTTGCGCCGTGTGCACAGCATTTGCAAAATTATGCTTGCATGCATTAACGCATATCCTAACGGATATTCAGACGTGGTGCGCGGACGGGTTTAGCTATAATGGTAATTTGCGTTTTTGTAATTCTTTATTGAATTTGCATGTCAAATGTCCACTTCAGCGTTACTTACCTAAAATAATAGGTTGCTCGTCGCTTACATTGTTTACATTCTCACACTATTTGATTTGATGCAGCTATTTGATTTTCGACACTCGAGTTCCGCTAACTTTCGGTGTTTTGCATGTAGTTTTAAGTAGGGCTTTATATCTAAATACCTAAAGCTGCCTTAGACCAAGCATCTTACCTCAATCCGTTACTGTGATGTAAAATTTAAGCAGCCTAGTTAGTCTGATGCGCTCAGTTCAGTGATGCGAGCAATCTCCGGACTCAGATCATTTAATCGCCGCTTTACGTGCCTCGTGGTTTTACTGTCGCCCGCGTCAGACGGGCTGGCGTGCTGTTTGACATGACACTGCATGATGGCGGCCTGGGTCCCCCGACAGGCGCCGGCGGGGGTACGCTGCGGGTGACCCCAGTCAGGGTGGGGCCGCACAGTCACCGGTCAGAGGCCCGCACCGGTCAGCTAGTCGAAGGTGCGGCTCACCTCTGACACACCGCTCTGTGGACATACTGTATGAAGTCCGAGGTGAGTATAGAGGAAGGGGATGGTCAAGAGTTCACGGTGGCAGTCGGCGTCTCCTGGGACAAGAGAGCGATCACTACCGGCTACGTGGGATCCGGGAACCGAACCGATAAGCGGCCGACGGAAGTGCTCCCGTTGTCTTACTCGTTTGACTGGATCAAATATGGGTAACGAATGCAGGAAGTATGATTCAACCTCTCAGGAACTCATACTAATCCCCGTCAATCCCGTCATTGAATATTCAGCGGTGGACCACACATCATCTTCCGTCAGATGCGACATGGCACGCGGTGCGCGTCCAGCGCTGCTGTTGGAATATTCAGCGACTGCACTGCCGGCTATAAGCGTATCACCAGCATAGGAATGTCTGCGGCGCAGCATACGCTGCAGGCGGAGCTGGCCAAACGCAGACCACCCAATATCAGTCGCAGTTCGTCTCGTTATCCGGGGCTGACTGCTCTGCTTCCGCCCGGTGTGACTCGCTAAATTTGGTGGTAAGGCGACAGTGGTTTTGACATGCTGACGAATGATGTGTTTTTGAACGTATGTTTGAGCGGGAATCATCCTGCTCGATTACCATACGACCATACGGCGCCAGTACGCGACATTTCCATTAGGCGGCCGTCGCATGGCGCACCTTGTCCGGTACAAATGGCCGGGCCGGCTCGGGTCGCGCGGGACTGTGTTCCCAGCACATCATCGATCACAATCTGTCGCGTCAGCCGCCCGGCGCCGCCGCCGTCATCAGCCGCCACCGCCCACCGTGTCATCAGACCCCCGGTCCCCCGCCGGGCCGACCCCCGGTGGGGAGACGGGACAGGGACGAGAGACTGTGAGCCGGCCAACCGTTATCTACCCTTCCTCCCGATAAGCTGATAAAGGGAACGAGCGTTGTGATGAAACAAAAATGGCCGCTGAGTGTTCCGTGTTTAGTGGGATAATACTGCTTAAAAAAGTTAGTAGATTTTAATTAGGCTCGCTATTGAAATGCTCACTAACACATTTCAAACTTAGCCTGCCACTTTAATTTCCTTCAAACTGGACCTCATCACGATTTTACTTATCTACCGATAATGCACCTTATCTTCCTCAAATCGAGTGGCGTTGGACGTTGGACAGGTCCTGCTCTGTCGCCGTGCTGTAGCCGACAAACATACATATGTTCTGTACAAAGCAGTAACATCTAATTGAGCGTCACTTTGCCTGCTTGTTCAAATCAGACCTAATGTCACTTCCCCGCCAGAGACCGATACATTGACATTGTACATTTATTAGATTATAATAGCATCACAGATGTAATTAGTATATATCACACGTGCACGTTGGATAGGATATGGACGAATTTACTGCTACGCGGCCCGGTCACCCCGGTGTGCAGAGGTACAGCCTCCGAGCCCTTCTCGTGCCGGTGTGACGGCCGACGGAACATCACCGGCGGGGGACGGCCGACGGGGTCTGCCGGAAGGTGACGACGACACCGCGATGGAGGCGGCCTCCCGATCAGATGGACCTCCGGCCGTCTGGAAAAGGAAAACACCTTGCTGATATCTGCAGACTAAAGCAACGAACATTGGATCAATATTGTATGTTGCCGAATCTGCTGAATAATATCAGACAGTGAAAGGGCATGACAAATACGAGCATGTTCTACCATGTTTAAACTCGCTAAATCATGACAAATTTATGGATAGGTATATTCAACTATGACTTTGTGTACCGTCGAGTTTTCTTTACCGGATCTCACTCCTTAGCGGCACGCAATTGAATACAGCTGTCTAATCTATTCCGGTGTTTGAGTCAATAACCATTAAATTAATCATTGTGAACTGTGGAGCATGTCGGTGCTCGTTCGGTAGCGTGCGGACGTTCCCCTCCCTGCCCAAGGCCTCCTGGCCCGCACCGCCAGCACCTGCGGCCCTCCCCTCTCGTAACGGACGGCAGCACAGCACCGGGCCGAACAGGGGCTGCGGGGAACAGCCACCGGGCCGAACAGGGACTGCGGGGAACAGCCACCGGGACGATGCGGGGAACAGCCACCGGGCCGAACAGGGACTGCGGCGAACAGCCACCGGGCCGAACAGGGACTGCGGCGAACAGCCACCGGGCCGAACAGGGGCTGCGGCGAACAGCCACCGGGCCGAACAGGGACTGCGGGAAACAGCCACCGGGCCGAACAGGGGCTGCGGGAAACAGCCACCGGGCCGAACAGGGGCTGCGGGAAACAGCCACCGGGCCGAACAGGGACTGCGGCGAACAGCCACCGGGCCGAACAGGGGCTGCGGCGAACAGCCACCGGGCCGAACAGGGACTGCGGGAAACAGCCACCGGGCCGAACAGGGGCTGCGGGGAACAGCCACCGGGCGGAACAGGGACTGCGGGGAACAGCCACCGGATCCGAACAGGGGTTGCGGCGAGCCTACGGCCACCAGGAACAGAGCCCACCGGCGGCACGGCACGGCACGGCACGGAACACGGCACGAGTCGACGTGGATATAAGCAGAGACTTCATGGTACGGAAAGGTATGTGAGCGCCCATATTTCGACACGAAACGGCAAAACACGGGAGGTAGGTACGGCCTGTATGGGCATGATACGGCAAGACACGGCACAACACGGCACAGCACGGCACGGCAGCAGGCAGCAGCAGACTCGGAGTCTGCCGCGCGTCCCTGTGGTATGCCCCACCGTACCACACCCTTACACGGACGGACCGCGTGCCGGCCACACCAGTATCCCGGTAGCCGGGGGCGGCCGACAGCCCGGGCCTCTCAGTCTCGGCCTGGGGCCGCCGGCGGTGTGAGGCCGCATACACCGGTCTACCGCTAACACCGTGGCCGCCACGGCGCACGGAACATAATGAGAGAACAGTGGAGGGGGAATGAGGGGTAGGCAGTGGAGCGGCACGGCAAACGGTTGACGGAACCAATGGCCGACCCGACCCGACTGGGGCTCACCTGTGTTCGTCATTGGCGGAAGTGCATGGCGTGATGAGATGACGCCATCACGGGCGTTATACCGACACAGCTGCAGGAAGGGCTCCAAAGCGAGTTCTGAAACACAATTTAGGGCCATGCATGAAATGTTCGCGCATTTATTCCTTACTTCACAACAATGCTTGAAAAATCACTGCTGAGGGCCAATGCAATTTATTCAGCTTTAAGTACCTACACCAATATAAAAAATATCCGAGGCCGATAGCCGCAATAATTTATTAAACATAACCCTACGCAAACGATTGCTAGCACAGAATTAGATACGAACCTGGATCTCGGCGGCTTTTTCTGCGTGCGTCGTTTGCCGTGCCGGTCTGTGTGACGGCTCGTCGCCGCCCGTGATGGTGAACGCCCGCGGCTTCTTTTACGACCTCCAGAACCAGCCGAGTCACGAACCATCTTCCGGGATTTCACAACACACCAGAGTGCACCATACGGTCTCGGGTCACGATACACCACACCGTCCGTTTGTCTTATTGCCAGCTCCCCGAGCTCTACACCTCACACACACGCACAGCCTTTGCACTACACCGGCCGGTGACTGCCGCTACACCCAGAGTGAGTGTGACAGTGACCTCTGATGGCAGTGTTCTTCGACCGCCGGGTCACCGGGCTCGGCCTGGTCCGGCTGTTCCTCCCGGCCGTCCGGCACAAACCCGCCATTGTCCCGGCTGTCCGGTAGCCCGTCCGGCTCCGACCGCCGCTCCGAGAAACGGTCCCGGTGCCCCTCTCTGTGGGCTCTCTGTCCCTCTCTGTGCTCTCGGTGCCCCTCTCTCTGGTCCGGGTGCACTTCTCTGTGGTCCGGGTGCCGGTCTCTGTTCTCCGGAGCCCGGTCCCTGTGCTCCTGAGCCCGGTCTCTGTGCTCCTGAGCCCGTTCCCTGTGCTCCTGAGCCCGGTTCCGGTGCTCCTGCAGTCGCTCGCGGTGCTCCTGGAGCCGCTCGCGGTACTCCTGGACGCGGTCGCGGTGCTCACCTCGCCGGTCCCGCAGCCGGTCTCGGTTCGCTGGGTGGGCCGAGTCGGACGGCAGCTGCGGCGTCGGCTCCGGCTCCAGGGAGGAGTAGAGCTCGCTGCCGCCGGAGCCGGCCAGCCGGCCGCTGGCCGAGCTGCCGTACTGCTCGATGGTCATGTAGGTGTGCTCGCTCGGCTGCAGACTGCTGTAGCTGGTGTTGTGCGCGCCGCGCTCCGGGGCACTGCCCAGCACCCGCGCCGAGCCCGCCCGCACGTGCGCCGGCGCCGTCCCGTGCTGGTAGTCGGAGACCAGTGTCGAGCATGTGGGCGTCGGCGAGTCGCGCGGCAGCATCGTCTGCAGCAGACCCTTGTCGTAGAAGGCGCGCATCATGTAGGATTGGTCACTAACGCTTCGGGGGATGCTCTTGAAGCCGCGGCAGGCCGGCAGTAGGCCCCGGAGGACTCGCCAGAAGTCCGGTTCTCCATAGGTGACGGAGGGCGCTGTCTTCAGCAGCGTCTTCAGCTCTCCTTCGACGGCGCTCCTATCCACGCCGTGGAGGAGGACCACAGCGCCGCGGCACGCGCGCAGAGCCTCCAGGTGCGACGCCTTGAAGTCGAACCGACACCACTCGTTGTCCAGGAAGTTTCTCGAGACGACGAGCAGCGTCTTGCGTGAGGCTTGCACACAGTGGTGCACAGCGTCGCCCAGGTAGCTGGTGTTGGGCGCGTCACGACGCAGCAGACACAGCCGCAGCGAGGGTGTCGACTGCTCCAGCACCGGAGCCAGCACCTCGTTCACGAAGCGTGTGTCCTGAGCACTGTACGTGACGAACACGTCGTACAGTTTGTCTGCCTCGGGCGTGACCACCGATACACCGGTGGTCTCTGTGCAGGCCGACGAGCCGCCCGTAGTCGACTCGGCACTGCCCCTCTTCCTGGCACAAAGCACGGCCCGATATCGCAGCAGGAGGCAGCCGGCCAGGGCGGCCAACGCGAGCCCGCCAGCTACCGACAGCGCCAGCGGCAGCGCTTCAGGACCCTCGCGGCGCGCCACGGCCGCCGTGGCCAGCTCGAGCGCGCATTCGGACTTGGCGTCGTCGCCGGCGCAGCTCACAGAATCGGCGTCTTCCACTTTGGCGGAGTTGTCGCTGACAAACGCGCTCAGCCGAGACATGAAGGTGCACTCGCACGACCACGGATTGTCGGCCAGCGAGAGCTCCACCAGGTAGGGGTTGGCCTCGAGCTGCCATACGGCGAAGGTCGCCAGCTGGTTGTCCCGCAGGGTCAGTACCTCGAGGGACCGCAGCTTGGAGAACGCCGCTGGATGAATGGTACGCAGCCGGTTGTTGTGAAGGTACAGCTCACGCAGGGAATGTAGACTCTCAAACTCATACGTGTGAAGCTCGGAAATCAGGTTGTTTTCGAGACGGAGGACTTGAAGAGCAGAGAGGCCGTTCAGGCTGCGGTTCTGGATCTCTTCGACGTTGGATCCGTTGACGAAGAGAGCGTTGATGCGTTTTCTGCCGATGAAGGTGTGGCTGTCGAGGCTGCGGATGTTGTTGCCGTCAGCGAAGACAGCCGTGGCGTCCATCGGGATCTCGCGGGAGATGGTTACCTGCTCCCTGCGACTGCAGTCCACGATGTTGGTGTTCCACGTGTGGTCGTGGTAGCACGTGCACCCACTGGGGCACTTCATCTCGCAGTCGCAGGCCACGTAGTTGCAGCAGTGGCAGATGGGGAAGCAGTGGCGCTCGTAGGTGCAGAGGAAGTCGGACGGCTTGGTGTTCCGCAGCGGCGTCAGGCTGTTCGGCATGTGCAACAGACGACACATGACACGGTCCAAATCCAGAACCTGCGAACGGAGCGAGACCCAACGTCAGTCAAGGTGACCAGATGCGCATTGGTTGGGTACTGATTCCTTATGCATAGTGCATACACTCGTGCAGTGTACAAGAGTACGTACACTCGTACAAGCATCATCAACACAAGCAAACACGCCGAATTGCAGGCACGTTTATTTACAGCAACGCGGGTTTAAAAGCGTAGCTGTTCGATGATATCTAATGATTCGGCTAAATAGGTGGGAAAATTTGTCTACTTCTGCATCGTCAGCATGTGTTGCATATTTTTAGGTATGCCTAATTTGTTTCACATTTCGCTGAAAATACCTTTTCACTTTTAAGTCGAATATCATGTAAAGGAGCATGTAAGCACATTAATGGCTTAACTTATCTCTATTCTATTTAGATAAAAAGTACGACCGGATGTAAGCATGCTATTATTTCTTGGTGCCAAGCGAAGCAAAGGATCGCGATTCGATTGATTTCAATGCAGTATTTCTAGCCGTAAAACCGTAAAACATAGAGTTGGAGACAAAATATAGCCGTTAAATTATCGTCTGTCAGTGAAGCTGGTTTACAGCACAAAAATGCCGGTCCGTACTCCGATTTCTGCCAATAAAAGCCCTCCTTCAGATAGCACCTGTCAGCCTTGTCAGCCACCTCGGCTGAAATGGAATTCAAAAGGGTAAAAAATGCGCCCGAAACGACAGCGCTTTAACCCGCGCCCTGGTGGGGGGGGGGGGGCTATTTTTTGCCCCCCCTCCAGACTTTTCGATATATCTCCAGAACCGCTGCGCCGATCGTCACCAAACTTTCAGTACCCTCCCGGACATCAATTTTACACATTGTGACCAAAAATTTATCCAAAGGCTATGATAGGTTGGCCGGAAATGACGTCAGAGTGACGTCATGTTCTGCCGTTTTCGACCCAAAAAAGGGTTTCGCGGGAAGAGCTGTCAGGCCTATAGCTTTGCAAATACAGAAAAACGATAAAGACATAAAAGCTGTAGAATCGACAGGGCTACAAAACTGCTATCTCGGATTTTTGAAATTTTTGGATTTTGACCCCCAAAAATCAAAAAATAGATTTTTTGATTATAATAGCCGAAAAATCCAAAAAGTTTTTTGAATTTCGAAAAAACCGGAATATATGTGATATTCCTTACCGCCTTCTATCTACATACCAAATTTGAGATCGATACCTCTTTTTTTTTGGCCAAGTTACAGCGAGAAAACTGTTCAAAAATTGATGACGTCAAATTTTCAAACTCAATTTTTTTGCAATTCTAGACCTCGTAGCGCAAAACAAAGACCACCATTAGACTCCCCGTGACGAGCTGCATCGAATCAATACCCATTTTATGCAAAAATATCAACTTTGAAATTTGACCTTTTTTGACCTGACCTTGACCTGACCTCCACCAGAAAGTGGCCTAAGCCGTACCTGATAGTCTTATAACCAACACCATTGAGTTGGAAATGAAAAATTGGCCATAAAACATGCATCGCACAACCTTAGTACCTAAAGTTAGGTTCATGTGACCTGACCTGTGACCCTTGGTGACCTGACCTGTGACCTGGTAATGTCAGTGACCTCTTATAGCAATATATGTACTAGGCAACTGACGCCCTATCGCTGATTCTCGACAAAATGCGCTTTCTTCGGTGTTATAGCGCATTCCCTAGATGACCCGTGAACGGTGAAACATTTCATCTTTGACCTGACCTGTGACGTCATCGGTGACCCCGAGGTCAATGAAATTTGGTTTCCCTCTACAAATTTGACAGGCCTTTCGAACGCCGTTTGAATTTTGCGGATCCGTCCAGTAGTTTCGGAGATACGAGGGGGGGGCAAAAAATAGCCCCCCCCCCACCAGGTCGCGTTATAAACAGACCCCACCAGGGCGCGGGTTAACCCTATTCCTGGCGGGCTCCGCCGGGACAAGAAACTGGCGGGGGGGGGGCCGATTCGGCCCCCCCCCCTGAGATCTCGAGAACGAAGCAAGATAGCGACAAACGGTAAACGGCATCGGATACGCACGGTCAAGATCTACACTTTTTACAAAGGTCATTTTCAGGTCAGGTCAAAGATGACGTCACAGGGGTCGAAAAAGTCAAAATGGCGGCGCTAGATATGGAGAGAGTTTTTCTCGAATAACTTTCGAATTAGTCAAGATAGGAACAAACTAAGGGCATCATCGTGATCCTCTCGTCAATCCGCATCGAATGATATATATGTTGACCTCGCAAGGTCAAGGTCAAAGGTTGACCTCAGGTCACGTGACCTCGAGGTCATCATGTATATCATTCGATGCGTCTTGACGAGCTGAACACAATGAGACCATCCACGCGTCTGTATCTTGTTCCTGTACGGAGTTATTGGCCAAAAACCTTTGGTGACCTTTGATGACGTCACATGACCTCACAGCTGCCCAACAGCAAAACAGACCTCAAGGTAGTGAAGGTTGATCGTATATGCAGTCATGTATGGTATATGGGGCCATTCCGACCCGTTTTAGTGGTAAAAACAGGGAGTTGATTTTTCCCCCATTGACTTATAATGGGGAGGTCGCGAAACTGACCTGACCTTAGGTCACCGATATCAAAATTCCGAGATATACAAATTGCACATACTGGTACCCTAACTAAAGCCTGAAGAGAAGAAATTGATCGGTCAAAAACTCTAGCTCTGGCGTGATTGCAAACTTTTCTGAGGTAGGGTCACCAAACCGCCTCTGGTGACCTGACCTGAGGTCAGATCAACTCAAAATTTTCAGACAAGTTGCGTAGAAGCCTTTTAGGAAAAGTCAGAAAATTTCAGCTTCCTAGCTCAACGCGTTTGGGAGAAATAACCAAAAAACCTCAGGGGGGGGGGGCTCCTGAGGCCCCCCCCCGCCAGGAATAGGGTTAAAGGCCCCGGCTGACTATAAGCCACGGTCAGTAATTTCTGCGTCATGAAATTTGGTGCTGTCAAGCTCATAGCCTTGAAACGACGGCTGTTAAAAAGGAGAATGGCCGGCGAATGACCGTAGCTTCTGGCCTGACTGTGGCGCCCAGATATATAGATGGAGATTATTTTGATGTACTTTCAGAAGGCCGCTGGCGACTGTGCGCGTGCAGTTAAAGCCGTCGTAATAGGGCAATTTCTCAGGAACGGAGCGGCCACGCACGAGAGCGGCTCTCACGTCATCTCCCAGCCGGGCGCGACAGGTTAGGAGACGGGACGCCCTCATCTCCGGCTATTAATCGCCGGTTATTAATGGCAGCCGATAGCGCGCTGAACGAGCCTGGGAGCCGCGAGGATGCGCGAGGCGAACCGGAGAAATTCTGGGTCACTGCCGAACGAGCGGCGCGCCGCGGTCGGCCGGCCGGTCTGCTCTCGGAGCATGGGGCCACAGGCATGCCAACACACCGAAACGTTACAGCTATCATCAGGCCGGAGCGCCGCGCCGGCCGGTCAGCTGCTCTGTAAAGCCACAGCGGCATGGCGGCCGATTATTAAAGTACCGTTTCACAAGCCGGCCATTGGCCAGTAATTTTGAGCTGATTACAATAAATCAGGCTAGGAAATAAACACTACCGCGATAACTGCCAGCTTTCGAAAGGATGCGACGCCGGCCACAGTCCACGGAGATTGGGCACTGGAGCGCCACGAGGGGCTCATTGTTTGGTGAAATCCACGACCTCTTACACCACTGAAGCTCTCAGATCTCGAATCGTCGGATAACGAATGAGATCTCTGTTTTAGTTGGGCAATAAAATAAAGCCGAAGCTATCCTGAAATTTTCAGCGCCGTCTCCGAGACTCGAGATTCAGAGCGAGAATGGAATTTGACAACAGAGTCTCAAGGGAAGGGGAGCTTTAGGCCTTAGGGGGAGATGACACAAGAACCGGATATTGCGGCAACCGGCAGGCCTGAATGCGACATTACCGCCGCCCAACCGCCGCGCAGTCACGATAACCAGCTTCAAATTGAAGACAAAGCTCGTCAGGAAAGCCATTGTGGCGCGGGATGGCAGGAGCGTGACGTGGGAGGTTTTCATCTCTGTGCGATCTGGCGGCGCCCATAGCAGCGGGCCGGATGACGATAGTGTTGTGTCACGGCCGACGCCGGGCACAATATCTCATTAGCGGGAGGTCGGCGCAGCAGCAGCCCTTACCTTTGGATACTTTCGCCGGGGCAGCACTGTGTTGATGGTGTGGAGCCAGTCCATCTCACAGTCGCAGAAGAAAGGGTTGCCGGCGAGCAGCAGCTCGGCCTCCTGCTCCCCATCCTCGGCGACTGGTGACGGAGTCTCCCCGCCCGGCAGTGTCACGGCCTTGAGATCCAGCTCACCCAGCTGGTTCGAGGAGAGGTCGGCTCGAATCAGCTGCCGCTTTGACTCGAACGTGCCCGGCTCGACGGTGGTCAGCCGGTTGCTGGCGAGAATGAAGTACTTGATACTGTCCGGTACCGATGCTCGGCTGATGTGCGTCACCTGGTTGAAGCTCAAATCAAGCGTCTCCAGCTTTATTTTCGACTCAATGTTGTAGAAGTTGCCGATCTCCTTCAGATGATTGCGGTGCAGGTCGAGCCAGCGCAGCTCGAGCGGCAGCAGCGCGTAGTCGAAGAACTCGATGTGGTTGTCGCTGGCGTTCAGCCACAGCAGCTGGGGCAGCTTGGCCAGCAGCCCGTTCACGTTCCGCAGCTGATTGGCGTCCAGCCGGATGGCTCGCAGGCCGCTGGCCACGTCGAATGCGCCGCTCTCGATGCTGGCGATCTGGTTCCGGGACAGGTCGAGCATGGTGAGCGCCGCCTGGCCGGCCAGCAGCTGCGCGGACACGTTGCGCAGCTGGTTGCCGGCCAGCCGCAGGTAGCTGAGCTGGCGCAGCTCGGCCAGCGACTGCGGCGCCACGTCCGACAGGAAGTTGTCGCCGAGGTCGAGCCGTCGCAGCAGCGTCAGCCGACCGAGCGCCTCGGGCACGGCCAGCAGCTGGTTCCCCTGCAGCTCCAGCTCCTGTAGGCCGCTGGAGTTGGCGAACGCCGCCGTGTCCACGTGCGTCAAACGGTTGTCGCCGAGTCCGAGCCGGCTGAGCACGTGCAGGCCCTCCAGCGAGCGGGGCTCCAGGCGGGCGATGATGTTTCCGCCCAGCGCCAGCGAGTGCAGGTTGCTGAGCGCGCCGAACAGGCCGCCAGGCAGCGACTGCAGCTGGTTGCGCGACAGGTCGAGCACCTGTAGGCTAGAGAGGTCGGCGAACACTTCTCGGCTGAGCGTCTCCAGCCGGTTGCCGGCCAGGTCGAGCACGATCAGCCGGCGCAGGCCGCTGAACGCGTCGCCACGCACCCACAGCGAGCTGAGGGCATTCAGTGACAGGTTGACGGCCAGCAGCTCCGGCAGGTCGGCCAGCAGGCCCGGCGGCAGCACGCGGATGCTGTTGTTCTGCAGGCGCAGGTCACTCACCACGCGCGTTTCGTTTAGCATCATGGCCGGCAGCGCCACCAGCTGGTTGTCCGACACGTCTAGCAGCCGGAGCTGCGGCAGACCACGCAGCGCGCCGTCATGGATGAGGGAGAGCTCGTTGGCGCGGAGCCGCAGCTCTCGCAGCTGGGGCAGGAAGCTGAGGGCGGCCGGCGGCAGCTCCAGCAGCCTGTTCTCCGAGACGTCCAGCGTCTGCAGGCCGTCGGTGATGCCGGCCACCTGCAGGTCCGATACGTCCCGCAGACCGTTGTTGGTGAGGTTCAGACTGCGCAGCTCGGTCAGCCGCGCGAACACGTCCCGCTCCAGGAAGTGCAGGTTGTTGTCGGAGAGGTCGAGCGCCTCCAGCTGCTCGGCGCCGCTGAACGAGCCCGGCTCGAGCCGCAGCTCGGTGGCCGTCCAGTCGGTGCTGAGCGTCCTCACCGTCAGCCGCGTCAGACTCCGCAGCCGGCGGAACGCGCCCACGCCGACACTCTCCAGTATACAGCCCACGATCGAGAGCGAGCTCAGCTCCCGGAACCCGCGCAGAAACTCCAGGTCCAGCGTCCGGTGCAGGTAGAGCCGATCACTGCACGTGAGCTCCAACGTCCGCACGGCGGCCGGCCGGGTCGCGTTGACCCGCGCCCCGTCCAGTCTGTCCACCGTACACCGCAGCCCGTCATCACCGCTCTCCCGGCACACTCCGGCCGCTGCACCGGCGCCGGTCAGCAGCACCACGAGCGCGCACAACACGCGCATCATCCCTCCTCGATCACCGCGCTCCGTGCATGGTCCGCAGAGCGCCGGGCTCGCACCCACCCGTCACAAGGCTCACGGCGCGACTGCCGCTGCGGCGGCGGCGACTCTGGCGGCCGACTGACAGGCCGGCGGCGGCGTCCCTCGTGTGGCGCCCCCTGCGCCGCCCGGCCCGGCCCGCGTGGTGGGCAACTCGGCGGCCGTCCGACCAGCCACGGAGAGCGGCCGCCGAGCGGGTGACGGCGTTCCAGCACGGGTGTTGTCACTTGTCAGACTGGTCACTAGTCACCGTCACCGACCAGGTCAGTAGAAGTAGGCACTATTTGACAAGGATGTGCTGTGGCATGGCTGGTAAGATAACCTCTTCATGCTGACTATTCTCAACAATATTCTGGTGTTTTATGAGGTCTTTGATGCTCCCCTACTCCCGGGAAGTAATAATGGGTCCCACCTAATTATGCGAGATCCCAAGTGATCCTATTTAGTTCCTGTAAGCCTCTAAGAGGTTTTCAACGGTACTTCATTTCTCGGGATATTGTGAAGGGTGCAGAACTGCAGAATGAGCCTCACACGACGCCAGCCGGGGACGACGGTGATTGCGGAAGCGCCCTCGCGTTCAGCAGGAAAGGAATGAGCACCTATTTGGTTGCATGCCTCCAGCTCCAGGCTTCAGAATGAAGCTCAAGAGAAGTATTCCATCTTCCGATAGCGGCGGTAAGATCCGTCTCCAGCATCTGCCTCCAGGCTTTGTCTTGCTCGAGATTCCAGACAAAGTGAGCTCCAGAGTAGCGTTCTGTCGTCCAGTGGCAGCCTGCGGGAAGCTCTTTCTCTACAGGCGCCAGAGGAGTAGGAGTGCTTCGTCTTCCACGGGCATCCCGGGCGGCTCTGTCTCCTGGCTCCAGGAGAGCGTTCCGTCTCCAGCATTCCATGGACCATGTAAGTACCTACCATTCCATGGACATCGTTCTGGAGCTCTGTCTCCAAGCTCCAGAGCAGTGCTCTGTTTGCCGGTGGTTGTGGGAGGCTGCCGTCTCCTGTAAATGTCTCCAGGCTCTGTCTTCAGCTCCAGAGCAGTGCTCTGTTTGCCGGTGGCTGTGGGAGGCTGCCGTCTCCTGTAAATGTCTCCAGGCTCTGTCTTCAGCTCCAGAGCAGTGCTCTGTCTGCCGGTGGCGGCGGGAGGCTGCCGTCCGGCGCCGCTGATGGAACGGTCGGAGATCAGTGCCGATTGACGCCGTCGGGCCGGGCCGTCGGCCTCCGGCTCGCTCGTTAACCGACCTCTCTAATACCGGCCACGGCCCGCTGCGAGAAACACGAACCAACGACCGCCTCCGGGTTAGTAGGACACACACATACAAACGCAGATGCGCCTCCTCTTCTCTCTTTCTCTACTCTCTCCTGTCGCTCTCCCTCTCCCCTTTCTCTCTTCCCCCCCTCTCTCTCTCTCTCGCTCATCTTATATTTTCCTCCCGGACATGAAGCATACCTAAGCATACAAAATCTGGGCTCAACTTAAACCGATTAAGTCAGATCTGAGATCCCCATGCCATGACATACCAGAAGCACAAAATTCCCAGGTCCTTCAGTGTTTTGAATTTACATATGTTTTTTTTGCCAATCCCGAGTCCCATATCTTTTAAGATCTTCCCAAAACTCTGTGACATCAGTGGTCATCTCAGACTGACGTAGGTATATTCACATTTGGCCATGATCAGTGCGGTGTGGCGTGGCCACGGTGAGGACTAACGAGCCATTAGATCACCGGCGATCGAGGCTCGAGCCTAGTTGGAGTCGCCGAAACTGTGACGCAACCGGTCTATGAAAAGGTCATCGACTATCCCAGGCAGGTGATTGAAAATTATACCCACCGCTTATGGAGGAGCCGCTAATTTCAATAGGACGACTCGTATTTGGGTCACGGCTAAATTAGGACTGGGCTGTAGCATCGATTACTGAGTGGTGAATGAGATTCCGAATACTACGAGATGAGCATTGAGACATTATGCTTTGTTTACCTCCAAGCACGGATAACACAGTCTCTCGCGATCCGTCCGAATAATATTCTACCTTATAAGAAGAGCTTATAATAGCTGAGCGACCATTGACTGAGCAATAGGTAGTTACGTTGGAACTACATATGTAGCAAGATTTGTAGTGCATAACCAAATCACAACTCGACAACAAAATTTAAACTTAGCTTCCATCAAATAAACAAGCAATTCTTCAGGAGACATGTCCTAAAGGAGATGCGTTAATTTAACTAGGTATAAAGAAAATAAAACATAGGCACGTAAGTAAAATTGACCTTTAAAGTATTTATATATATTATTAGGTACCCACATAAAGTTTTGCATGGATAGGTAAGCATATATTTACCGTAAAATCAAATTCCTATGTTCGCGGTAGTGCAGCAGTGCGTGAGTGCAAATCCATGATGATTGATGGGGCCATATCTAATGCCTATAAGTAGGTATGTAGGTAGGTACTAGTGATGTCAATTACGGAAAATCGGAATACCGATACCAAACCAAATACCAACCAAAACCACGAGAAAATACCGAAACCAAACCAACTTGGGAAAATGAGGGAAATACCAAATTTTTACCGATTTCTTAGCCTCTTATACATTAGGGGAAAGTGGGGTAAGACGGTCAGGGTAGGTAAGACGGGCACCCCTTCTGCAGACCAAACCAATAGCGCTACGAGCAAGAAAAGTTAGGACCAGAATTGCCTTTCCCACTACACACCACCATTCAAGTCTGGTGAATTTGTGTTCAGTCGATAATCTTTTATTTTGATTTCTTTAAAACACTCATTTCATTGAAAACATCCATAATGTATTGTGCAAGCTTTTGTGTACAGCACTATAGAGTTAAAAACTCGCAATCACTTGTGGTACACTCATATGCCAACAGTGTTCATTTACGGCGGATTTGCTTTGTCTGCATCAAATTGTCCACAGCGAAAAATCGTGCTGAACTTCTGACATTGAGTTTGGGGTAAGACGGGCAACTATGAACCCAATGGGTCTGTAATGGTGAAAATATTTTTGTTGCTGTAGGAAAAAAGAAGCATTTCTAATAAGAATATGTTCGATTCCGATACTCACAGACATGTTAGCAATATTCCTTCGGCACAGTTTATTCTCGAATAATGAATGTGAAAAACGGTTCTACATGGCTTCTGAACTAGGGCCTATATAGGAGCATACGCCTTCTGCACGAATCTCGTATACTGCCATTTCCGAAGCACTTGAGACCAACGAGCGACTGTATAAATGCGGCTAATCTCGGGCATTTGTTGCGAGCTGCGCTGATCGGTGAAAGAAGCTGGCCGTCTTGCCCTACCCATGTGACCGTCTTACCCCATGGGGTGGGGTAAGACGGGTTTTTGCAAGGTTTTGCAAAAATAGCTGCAGTTTATTTGTTGAATCAGGTCTAAGTCTCATCTTCTGGCAAATGAAAGTAAAATGTCTGAAAAAGGTTTTCACCCAGTTTCCCGTTTCTATGATGTTTCTAACCGGCCGAAAAATGGCTCCAAAGTTAAGGTGCCCGTCTTACCCCACTTTCCCCTAGTGAGGGTTTATGATACCAACAAAATACCAAACACATTACGATTGAAATACCAAATACCAAGTTGGTATCGGTTTGGTATCGGTATACCAAAAAGTTGGTATCCGATTGACATCTCTAGTAGGTACTCAATATTCATAGATATCAATATTTGAGTAGTTCAATTGAATTGATCAGCGGAATGCAATTCTGCTAATTAAGCATGAACTACGACGGTTAAAAGCAACTCATTGTATATGCTTCAGTGAGCCCTTAACTTCACTTGCTTTGTCCGATCCTATCATGCAAGTGATGCAGACGCTCAACGCATTTAGCATTATGGTATATTGGTCGCAGTTTTAAAATGATTGCATATAGTGACCATAGAAGTTATGGAGAGCAAACGTTGAGCTGAGCCAATAGGTAATGAGTAGGTCAAGTGACTTCATTTGTTGTTTTTTTTTCACGCTGAGCCCTGGCTGCCTTGATGCGCTGAACAAACTGAATGACAGTTGGAAGCAAAAACAAAACCTAATCTATATTACTCACTGGCGTTTGGGAGGTGACGCCCACAGCCGTTCGAGCATTAATTGAAACTGATGCGCTTTTTCACCGGCTAATAAAAGGGTGTCCGGATGGGCGGTCGCTGCTGACCGGCCGAGCGACTGGTATAACCGGCAGCGGCTGACAATTTATAGACGATGTGAGCTGAATTCGGACACCAAACGCCCGCAATACAATGCGCGCAAGGCAATGAAATACTCATGGTCTTGCGCTGCGCTAGTCATATACCGTTTTATGGCCGCTACACGACTAATCTGGGTCATCCTGGGATCTCTGTTGCATTGATTTCTGTGCCGCCTATAGCCGGCGCCAGGCCAGAGAGCCCGTTATCATTCCGATGCATTAGCCTCCCGCGGAGGTGGTGGGCGCCGGACGCCCCTGCAGCGGGCGCCCCGGAGGGCGCGGCGGGCCGGCCGCCCCCCGGGGCGCCTGTTTGCCGACCTCCTCCGGCGGGGTCGGCCGTCACTCAGCGCCGGCCGCGCGCGTGCCACCGACTGCCGACGGCTCATGGCGCGGCGCATGGTACCGCCGCCCCGCCGCTGCACGAGGCAGCGGTGGCGGCGCCCTAATGAAACCCAACACCACCGGAAGAGCGCCCGCGCCGCGCGGTAAGGCGAGAACAAACGGACAGCTCGGACACCGGCGAACGTTCACTTCAACTTAGGAATAAAGCGGAAGGAATTGAACAGTTCCGGTTTAACCTTAATGAAAAATGTTAATAGCGAATACGTGATGCATACATGTTGAGGTTTAAAATACTGTAGTGAAAGTTAACATAAAAACGTAAAACAGGTCGCAAAATAACCGCTAACCAGCAACCACTTACATCCCGGAACACCACTTCAGACCGCAGTGGTATTGTCGGGGAGGCTCGTCTGCCGAAGACCGATATCGGTGCGGACCCAGCCCTGTGAAACTGAAGAGGTTCCCACCGTCTCGACTGCTCGGATTTACATTGGAATGTTTTCCCGGTCGGTGT